AAAAATGATATTTTACCCTTATTTTTTTAACGTTTTTAATTTGTATTAAGAAATCTCGAATGAACCAGTTGAAAATCAGTGTAACACACTACAGAAACGGCAAATATCTAAGCTCGAGTGCATAAGAAGAAAAAAATCATAACTCTATTTTTATACGAAAGGAGCTAATAATTCGTTCCACGTTATTTCCCCTGAAAATACTAAATTAAACAAAAATTCCTCTACTGCCCCCCCGTGATTGATGCTTTTTCAAGAGCACACACGAACCTCTGACATTAAAACGCGATACGTTTTAATTTGCTATCGCACGAGCGAGATAAATTAATTACAAAAACGCGACCTCCGTGAAATGTTCGCCACGTGAAACGAGTGCGAAATATTCGAACGCAAATTGAGAATGTACAATTAATTATCCTCGAAACAACGTAAAACACGTCAGTTCCTCGTCGTCGTCCAATTAGACGAATTAATTATAATAAACCGTATCGTGACAGTCGAAACAAACAAATTTTCACCCGATCATCTCTCGTCGAAGAAAGTTCCAGCTTTTCTCTCTCCAACGGTAATACCTTTTTCACCTTTGTTTCCTCCCTCTTGACACGTGCTCGCTTGCACAAGTGTTTTCCGCGATGATATATAAACGTGACGCGGCGTAATACCGAGACGGAAACGGAAGAAAAACAAGGGGTATCTCTCTTCGCGGCGTACGTTCCTCGTAAAAACATTATTGATTAGATCTGCGCGCGTGGAATTCGGCGTTATCTGTGCACATCCGAGAAAAAATCGCGTCAACCGTATCCTTTTCACAGGAGAAAAAGCTTTTCTCTCTGTTTGCTGTTAAATATACGAGCTGGAAGATACAGTTTTGCTGCGACCGCATAAAATACGACACCCGGGGTTCGGCTTGACAAAAGGAAAATACCGTGGGTGATCAAATTATTGGAGTCACAATAGGAAAAATGTGCTTTTCGTGTTTGTGTCGAAATAAAATCGCAATATCAAGATTTTCACACTGGATAATTTTTAATCAACTAAACACAATTAAACTTAGCTTATGTAGTCATCAAAAATACCTGCTAAGAAGTGACGATACCGTTGTTAGATTTATATAGTTAGATAAATATAACAAAAATGAAATCTAAAACCTTCCTAAAAAGTATGTTTCTTTTACGTGCGTTCCAAGAAATCCGTTTGGCTATACTACATGTTTAGTTTTAGACCTAAGTGTTTATGATACGCGACAAAAGGCCCTTCGGTCCCAAGCGGGGTTGCGGGCAATTTTCGGGCGTTGCGTACAGTGTTCTTGCTAGCAACTTAGAATAGCGAACCTTCCTTGTGTATAATAAAGATTATAGTTTAAAATAAGAAATATTTCATTATTTAATAATTCATAAAACCCATAATCCAATAACCGTGAGTATTTGGTAGAGCTACCTTTTGCTGCAATTGCAGCTTTAATTCTTTTTTCGACACATTTGAACACTGCCAACCGGAACGAATTGCAACTGAACAGAAGTCTAAGATTGCTAAACTGATAAAGTTTTCTGTGTTAGGAAGATTACTAATATAAAATTCAACGATGTGCGAGAAAATCCGTCCCGAAGACGGTGAAGCGAGCACCTTGAAGCCACGCCCAGCGCGCTCGGTGGGGGTGACTCCGCCCCTTTGGGTCTTTCCCTGGGCCTGTTCGCGTAGGGGTGGACAGGGATCCTCACTCTTCCCGAGACCTTCAATGTACACTTGTGCAAACGACGTCCGATTAACGTAGACACAGATTCTGAGTAAAATATGTTGTTGCGGAAAACGTGGATAAGTTTAGTGAATTTTACGCCCTTCAATGTACACTTGTGCAAACGACGTCCGATTAACGTAGACACAGATTCTGAGTAAAATATATTGTTGCGGAAAACGTGGATACGTTTAGTGAATTTTACGTCCACCCTACGCTGAGTCGGAGTACTTCCTGACCGATGGGTCGTTACATCGACAATATCACGGAACGACATTTTTTAAAACATGAAGAAAAAATGAGAATGAAATATGGTACGTAAATAATACAGTAGAGAATGGTAGATTTACCACACCGGTTGGCAATGTGTGGAATTAGTTTAATAATATGTTGAGTGTTGAATCGTCTCGAGATTTTGTATCTTATTGATATCAGAGAGTGCGTGAGAATTTATTGCGAGATATATTAAGAGACCGTTGATCAGATTATCATTATTCCTCTTTACGCGTGTTTATAGTTATTATGAAATTATTGTTATAAAATATATTGCTATTGAACTTATTATCACCTGTTATACAACCACACAATGTGTTAAGTAATTTACTATGCGTTATAAGTAGTAAAAACACGGCAAGAAAAATTCAAATGCTCGAGATCTATAAACCAACAAAACTGCAAGTGGAGATTTGCAGTACGGATGCAAAATACGTCCATACGACAGATAATATTGCCTAAAGCACACATGGACAACCCCCGGCCCTAATCTATTTCAGCGAAGTTTGTCTTCAATCTTCACGTTAAATTGTTACGTCGTTCGTTATATTATAAAATTTATGTCGAGCTTTATACCAAAGCGTTACATTATAAATAAATGAAATATGAAGTAGCAACTTGTTTGAATTCGTTTAATATTGATTTATTTTATTTAATAATTTGGCCGGCCCTCGACTCGGAGACAGAATGATAATTTGGCCCCCGAACTAGGGAAGTGTTGCCAAGTGCATATTTGCAACTTGTAAACACCGACGCTTCATAAAAAAAAAATAATAAAAATTCGGTATAGCTAGATTTTCACCTGAAAATGAATCGTTACAACGTAAAACCGTGAATTTCTTACAGGTGGTTTTAATAATTTTATCATCCACTGTAGAAACGAAAGAAAGAAAATCCTTCTATCGTTGTGATATCGAGCAGAACACGAATGGAAAGAGGTACGCTGCGAAAGTTAATTTAATAACTCCGGTGCATCGATAGCCAACCACGGTATCGAATAGTTGGTCTTCATCGACGGTGAGCTGCATCGTTAATCAGGCGAGTTTAACGACGGTGAGGAAGAGAACGTCTATATAGGGGAAATTTCTCTCGTTGAATCTTTCGACCGGTCGAGTTTGAATATGGACGTATCGAGATATAGCGGAGGCATTTGAGAAAAGCAAATTCACGTTTCGCGAGGTAAAGGTGTGCGCGCATCGTTTGTTCCATAGAAATGCACGAGACTCTTTTACCGATGAATATCGTGGAACGCCGGAAGGAAGGTGAATGAATTTCTTGGGAAATTCCGGGAATGCGTCTGGGAATTTTCGTTCTTCCCGTTTGATCCCCTTTCTTGTGAGAGAGGATACGGGTTTAGAAGCATTTGTGAACTTGAACTTGGGTTTGAATTAGAAATGGAATTCTTTTGGTGGTGAATGAATTTCTTGGAAAATTTTGAGGGTGCGTGTGGGAATTTCTCTTTTTTATGAGAGAGAATATGGATTTCGAAAAATTTTTGAATTAAATATGAATTAAAAATGAAACTTTTCAGTTTATGAATAAATTTCTTGGAAAATTTCAAGAATGCATCTTTGGAATTTTCGTTTTTCCACCTAATCCCTTTTTTCTGAGACACAACATAGATTTCGAAGAATTTCTCAACTCGAACTTGGATTTAAATTCGAACAGAAAACTGCAATTTTTCAATTCCTAAACAAATTCCTTAAAAAATTCCTCGAATACATCTGAAAATTCCCATTTTTCCGTCTGAACTCTTTTTTCTGAGAAAATATAAACTTCGAAGTACTTTTGAATTTGAACTTGAGTTTTAAATTTTCTAGTAATTAGTTAGTAATTAGTTAAAAAAATATCAAACTAATATTCGTGCCGTATTTGGGTTTCGCATAAGCGCTCTCAAGTTACTCTTATCAAGCGTATAAACATAATTCCTTCGATTATCTTTTTCTCCCCTCGACTTTCTTATTAAGAGCAGTTGCTTCATCACCCGCGTCGAATATCAGTGGCAACGGGAAAGAGAGTCAGTCTCTTTAGAGAGTCCTTCGAACTCTTTCATCTTCGCGGACTTGGATCTAATTAAAAGTTTCCTTCGCAGTTTTCGAGCACTCGCCAACTTAAAATGATTTAGCAACGCGCAGAAGGTAAACGCAAGGGTAAATACCCGTTAAAAATGATTTACATTGAAACAGCCGGGTACGTACATTAAACCTGTAGCAATTTCAGGTCATGCCTTCACGTTATCGGACGAATATTTATTTTTATGCTACTCCATAATTTCAAAGTGCAGTCTTGTATGAAATTTCATATCCACTGCATGCCAAAGAAATTGCAACGTCTTAAAAAATCGCATAAATCTGAAATTTACATCTTACACATTGTTCGAGGTATTTTGAAGAGAAAAAAAGAGATATTATTTATTAAACTTTCGTTTCATCTATAAGACTCAGCATTGCCGAATGAATTAATCTATGATACACTAAAATTTCGTTAAAAAGGAGATATTATTTATTAAAAACTGTCATTTTTACCTCAGAATGGCTCAAAAAAACATGTAATTTCCAGATGTGTGCAATCTAAATTTCTAAGTATTATAATTTCTTTGGGAACCAGTGTGTGAGTGATTCACCTAACCTGACCTGAAATTCCGCAAACTATTCACTGTACGAAGGTAGTGTATGAAGCAAAAAATTGCACCAATTTAAAAGGAACATATGTTACATATAATTATTTTTTTCTACATTGCTTTCATACATGAAGTTTCAAAGGTCACTATGATTTCTTTAAATGGAACTTAAGCAAATTAAAAGAGAAAACAAATATCAAGCCGTAATCTCTCCAGATATTCACCATTTCAATTCTGCTCCATCGAATTGAAATTTGAACAAAAACACGCACAAGTATCTATATTCCTACCCTTAAAACTTGATCGACCATCGTGCCACTAATACTCGTCGACGAGTAACAAACTCGCAAAGGGAAAATTTCTTTGAAAAAAACTCACCACCTCCAAATGGCTGTTGTCCTTCCTTGTCGTCGGTTGGAGAGCCTTCTAAACTCCCGGGACCACTATCAGCTCCGCCAGTCGCGCTGTAAATACGACGAGGACAACGCGTGAATAAAGTATAAACGAGTGACTTTGTCGTGCAGTTTACCCTACCCTAGAACGCTCGCAAGAAAGCTTCAACATGAATCCTAGGTCGAATGAACAATACAGAAACAAAAAAAAAAAATACGTTACACATATATATCGCATGTATCAACGTGTGAAGAATTTTGCGCATCGCTGCTTAATTAAAAAACATTGACAGTTGCATGACAAAAGGAACAGAAATTGCAAAAAATTTGCATTTGACTAACGATTAAAAATAGGTAAAGATATATTTAATCCCGATCTGATTCTCTGGTGTGAAACTAATGAAATTAGAAATGTGCCGTTTTACGTGATAAAGAATACTGTACCTACCTATAGAGTCTATGTGTGCAAAAAAATCAAAATTGACATGTTTTACATATATATTTTAAATAAAACTGTTCAACTTATCTCAATACTAACATTCATATCGTTCGTATTAACAGTTTACGCGAATTACAGAGTTTCAATCCTCTCTCTTCTATTCTCCTTTTTAACATTCTTCGATTAACACGTTCCGTGCCACGGGAGAATTGCCAGTTTTGTCGGACGAACTGAGACGAAGTTGAGAAGTTAGACGAAGGTATCGGTGTATGTGTTACATTAAATTCTTCACATATTTTACATGAGGTTTAACAATGGTAGTACCATTTTCAAGAGCTGTCGTGTATCAAGAATAGTACACGGAACGTGTTAAAGGGTTAGACCATCTCTGAAATACGAAAAAATTGAATTTTCTGTTTGCTTAAATTGGCAGTTTATAGTTTTAAGAATATAATTCAGTTTCAATGAGAAATTTCGATGGTTTTATGCCGTTAGAGTCGATTTAACGAACCGTGTCGATGAAAAATCGAAACTTCAAACGCGGTTTCTTTAGAATTACATTTTTAACGTCGGCGTTGACCGTAATTACTACAATTTTCGTCCGATTCGCTTGAAATTTTCGCAAAACACTCTCCGTAGTATAATCTAAAGAAGTGCACAGGATTTTTGTAATAAACCGTAAAGTTTTTCTGCAATTAATATTTTTACACTGAAGTTTTAAGGAAAAGGCGATTCTTCCTTCGTATGTTCACCATTTCTATAAAACTCGATATTTTTTTCAAATCCTCTGCACTTCTCTAGTAATTAGCACAGAGACGATGAAAATTATTAATATTTTCTTCTAAGTCAAATCGTGAGAAAACAACGTCAGGCCAAAATACAGGTTCAATGATACACCTGTAACGCCGCCATTTTACAAAAAGTTAAACGAAAAAAATACTCTTACATTCTTCGAAGCCCTATAACAAAGCCCCCAAAAAAAGTTTCCCATCAAGTCAATCATCTCCACAAAGAAAAATCCCAAAGTTACGTATCATTTTCACGCCTCAAGGATGGTCCAACCCCTTAATCATTTTTTCAATTCGTAACGAAGAAAAGATTGCATCGAACGTTAAAGACTCTACGACCTTCCCGAAATCGAAACCTGAACTGCTCTACAGAGAAAACCGTCTCGAAGAAGAGTATACGCACGTAACGTGCGAACATTTCTCACCTGCTGGCGTCGTCTTCTTTCTGTTCGCCGGTGCCCTCGGTGTTCTGTGCTACCTGTCCACCTTCGTCCATGGCCGCTGCTGCCTGCGCTTCGCCTTCGTTTGCCGGTGCACCGGCACGACTTAATCCGGGGATTCCACCGCTGAACCAGCCTGTCATCTGGGACTTCACACCAGCCAGCATTTCCAATTTGCTGCTGCCTTTGGTCGGGCTACCACGAACACACGAAAACCGAGTTTTTAATCTACGACACCGTTCTATTAGTCGGGCAGGTTTCACTTAAATCTAGTGCGTTCTTTCGTTCGATTATATGTAAGATAAATTTAACCCTTCGACAGTTTATCAGGGGTGAGACCCGGGAAGTGCGTTTAATACGGAAGAGTTTAACACTGGAACGAGCAAACCGGTGAAAATGAGGGATTTCAGATTTTGTACTTCAACACTAGGTTCGCGGGACGCGTGATTTTGACGCATTTCGAATTTCACAAGGAGAATTGCAGAAACTGTTTACACTTCTTCCCTACCACTTATGATGGTTGTAGATTATATCTATAATACGTTTAACATTTATCCGGAGTGAGACTCGGGAAGTGTGTTAAGTGCAGAAAAGTTTAACACTGGAACGAGCAAACTTGTCAAGATGAGGGATTTCAGATTTCAAATTTGGTACCTTAACGCTAGGTTCACGGGACGCGCCATTTTGACGCATTTCGAATTTCACAAGGAGAATTGCAGAATCTGTTTACATTTCTTTCCTACCACTTATGCTTGTAAATTTTGTATAAATATATAATATCACGCAGTTTCGTTTATAAGTTAACCCTTTCGCTACGGCAGATTTTCAAGCGTAACGTGAGTGACTCGCTGCAAAATTTCTTATTTTGGCCGATTTCGATGAAATTTTCAGCATGCGTATAAATGACATAAATCTACAAAACGTATGTTTGAAATTTTCGTTACAAGCTCGGGTAAAAAAGTTGTAAACAGTGTAGGGGATTTATGTGAGGAGGGATAGTAAACTCGAACGGACTTTTGACTATGCTATATTTATTAATAGTTTATATCGCTACGCTAGGGATGTCGCTCAATCAATCGCTGGATTCACACTGCCTTTCGCTCCCTCGCATTCGCCCTAATGTCATCTTGCATACATGCACACTTTTCGTTAGAAGAAAACACACACGCACTCACGCACTCCTCGCCTGATTACTAAAACTAAACATTCGTTCAATATCTTTCGCGCTATCCCAAACACTCGACCTGGCACGCCGGTCCTTACCGCTCACGCCATAGACCCTCACGCATTCACACAGACAACGCATTCATACAAACAACGCACTCACGCTCGGTCATCCCTGCAACAGTGACCTTTACAATTTTCTTCGTAATTCCCACAAATTGCAATTTTTTCAAAAAATTTTATACTCCTCATCTAACTTCTCAAAAAAACTCAAGTCGTTTGATCCAATTTAAAAACAGTTATACTGTTCTAAAGAGTGTCCGAATATTAGTAAGAGTCACTGTAAGTATAGTCGGGGCCACGATATAGCGAGGTCGTAAAATCGGTTAGGCGTCAAAGTAAACATGTTTTAGCTGCCGGGACCCGAAAATTGACAGAGATACGAGCAGATAAGTACTTGAAACCATGGTCAGGACCGTACAAAGAATTCTTGTATCCAGCGAAAGTCAAACTGATTCTAATATATTTACTGAAAACTGCATGCAGCTAGGACAAATTAGGGTTTCTCCCTCTGGGGGAAGCCGCTTTTGGAAGTACGGTTACAAGTAAAGGTCTTATTGAGGTCTTTAACATCTTCATTTACCTGCTCGTGTTATATACAGATAGAAAGTGCAAAAAGATTGTGTAGCTTTAATATTAACATATTTTCCATTTGTAAATGAAATACCATTTTCTACTTGAAGTACCAAATCATATGCTACCATTCGTTTATTGTTGGAACCCTCAAACAGACTGCAACACACGGCGTTGAGTGCTGCAACATCAATCGATGCCGATTCTTGAGAGTTTAATTTACGACTTCGCTATATCGTGGCCACAACTATACCTAATACGAAATGTCCCTAAACCTAGCGTTAAATTACGGAAATGATTAAAATGCCTTTGGCAAAGTACGTGACGACTTTTGTTGAAATAAACGAATAATTATACTATACGCTGATTTATTTCCCGTTAATCTTTCCAGTTTCGAAGTCCTTTATATAGTGTACTTAAATAAACCGGAAGGGAGAAAATATGCTGTATTTAACTCTGGTTGTTCTAGCGCTAAAGCCAAGAGAAACTTTCAGGAAGAGAGATAGCAACGGGATGTTATTATCAGGAGTGCGACGTAGAGTTATGTGCACCGTGCTTTAAAAATAATCACACATGACGTGATTATTAAAAAAATACGTGTAACATGTGAATTTTATTGACTGTGATTCCTAACTGTATTAGACTGTCAAAGGGTTAACACATAGCCTAAGTACCCCCAAATTCTCGTAATAATTTTATTGTCCTTTTCGGGTTTATATCATCCTTTCCACTCTCTTTTTATATTTTAGTCTATCCTTGTTATCTAGTAGCTAATTTACTACTGTAGGAACCTAAGGAAAAATATTGAGGGACCCAACGGAAATCGAACCGGGGACCTCCGGCTTTGCGCGCTACGTCAACCACTCCCTCTCTATTGTCCCTTCGAGGTTTCCTATTTGGGTATGGAGGCCCCGATACTACACTCGGCCATCCTGAACTGACATTCGCCCTCGAATGTCCTCATCAGTGCAACACAACTCAACACTTTCGGGCACAGTGGCACACAGCCGAAACCCTCGACATGTTTTCATCGCACATCTCCTGGCTTCGTGTAGCCGTAGATGCCTCCATCCCGGACGAGTCCCCAACCATTTGTAGGAACTAACGACGGAAAAATATTGAGGGACCCAATCGAACACGGGACCTTCGGCTTAGCAGGTCGAGGCTTTGCGCGCTACGCCAACCACTCCCTCTCTATTGTCCCTTCGAGGCTTCCTATTTGGGTATGGAGGCCCCCGATGCTACACTCGGCCATCCTGAACTAACATTCGCCCTCGAATGTCCTCAGTGCAACACAACTCAACTCAACACTTTCGGGTACACTCCCCCACACAGTGGCCACTCTCTCAGCCGAAACTCTGTTTCTCAAGTTTTTGGGAGTCGTGCACCCTCTTACATGTTTTCATCTCACAGCGCCTGGCTTCGTGTAGCCGTAGATGCCTCCATCCCGGACGAGCCCCCATTTGTAGGAACCTAGGGAAAAATATTGAGGGACCCAACGAGAATCGAACCGGGGACCTTCGGCTTTGCGCGCTACGCCAACCACTCCCTCTCTATTGTCCCTCCGAGGTTTCCTATTTGAGCATGGAGGCCCCGATACTACACTACTATGTACCTCCTTTCTGCCATCCTTCGTCCATTCCTCTTTCGTATTTCTTTCACATCGTTTCGACTTCTTCCCTATCTTTCCCTTCTCCAATCCTCATTTTTTTATCTTTCTCTCCTTATGGGAAGGTAAGTGATAAATGCAGAAGTATATTCAAAAGAGTGTTAAAAATTTATTCAAAGCACACAAAATAAAAGGTGTAAGAGTTTGTATGAATGGACGGGTGGACGGTCCTGATTTATGGCACGGCAATTCAGGAGGACTACGTCGAAGAAGTCCAGGTCCTCGAGCCTGCCGTAAGCCGGGGCCCACTCGCAACATTTGGCGCACACACGTCGCGACAAGGGCTGACCAGCCGGGGTCAGGTAAGGACCCGAACAAGTAGAGGGGCGCCGAAGATAAAAAGACGTGGAAGAACGTTTCGAGGTAGAAAGTATTGTAGAAAGCATTACGAAAAGTATCGTGGAGTGTAGAGTATTACGAGTCACACGAACAAACAGGCATACGGCCGACCAATATATTTATCCATATTATTAATCCTGACAAAGTTAGTCATTTCCACTGTTTACTTAAAACCATCCTCGACAAACCAAGCTACTCCTTACGAAGAAAAAGAGTGTTAAAAATTTATTAACACCCTTCTCCTTTTCTTTTGTATATTTCTTTTCTTATTTATTTAGTCGTTGATTCACGTCTCTCGTCAGCTCGAAAAATAATCGACGTCCATTCACGTCTCCCTTCGACAACGTGTTAAAGTCTTTGGCTCGAAAAAAGGGCCTTTTAACCCTTTGCACTCGGAGGTCATTTTGTAACAGAAAAGTTTGCGAATCGAATGTTTGAAATTTTTTAAAATTGACGCAGTAATAAACTATACTATTTTACTTAAATATTCAACGTATTCTCTATTTCACTATAACGAACAAATTTATAGATGCCCCATAGATCTGCTCTCTGACTTGATTAATTATTCACCAAGTGACGATTGTTTAATGTCGCTTCTCAGTCACCACTCGATTACAAAGGGTTAACATACTATTAAGCAAACACAGAAAAACGATGAACTTTCAACACAGTATCAAGAGAACGCAAACTTGACAACAGCAAAACTTCTAAACAAAACAACAAGAAAGCGGGTCAGAAAGGACCCGAAGACTGTTCCAGAGTTAACAAGTAATAACGAGGACAGTAGTAGTAGGAAAATCATGGCTCTGAAGAGCATGTTCCGAGGAAGAAAGTTGCAACGAGGGAAGGAAGAAAGGAAAGTAATGTGAAAGAGGAGGATTTTCCAGCCAAGGTTCGTTACGAACGAATGTTTTTCGTTCCTCCAGAAGTTTACACAACGGATAATTACACAAACGAGTCCTCTCTACCTGTGTGTAACGCGCGGCGAAGAAGTTCGATAATCACCGGGTGTTAATAGTTTAAGCGAGAAAGTTTGTAAAAATCAAATCGGCGACGGTGTGTTACGGAGGAGGAAACGTTAACACGTAACAACTTCATCGTGCGCATTCAAACAGACTCGATGTTTCTAATTATCTCGTTCGATAATCACGTTTAAAGGCTGCACGAAAACGTTATTAACACAACTTTCGATTCGAAAATTGCTCATGGTGTTCTCTCTGCTCCTCTTTTTTTTCTCTTTCCGCTTGTTTCTGCTGTTTGCTTGGAACTTCCACGCCGCACCCTTATTGCGCGATGGTTACCTAACGTTCGACGAGGGAAACAGGCAGACACGGAGGAGAGAACGAGCAGCTCTCGAAAGTGTGCTTCTAATGCCTGGCCTATTCGCTTC